GCTGATGAGACCCAGACACTCAAAACGTGTCAGAGAGTTTGCTTGCGTCAACAGAAAGCCAATAGGATGACGTACTACACTATTATTTTTTTACTGGGATAAACACGCTTTCTCTCTTAACTGTGTTTTTTTAACATACAGTACATACCGTATGCATGTGGCAAACATCATCCATTCACACTAACCCAGTAAACATGGAACGTTAAGCCAACGTTGGTCCAACGGTTCCAACCACATGTGAACTGGAAAGGCCCTTATTATACTATGATACAAAAGTCTATTTCAAAAATCCCTTTATTGTGAATCGTTGAATGTGTATTGTGTAACGTTGGCGAACCCATCCGCCTGCCTGGAGGTGCATGCACACCCCGAATCAGTGTCTTTTATTTAACCAGGAGGTCAAATCACCTGGTTTGAAACGCATTAAACAGCATTGCCACTTTTGCAAGGGAGATCTGAGACGTCGTGATTTGAATGAATAGAAAAACGTTCAACGCAACACGAGCAGCGCATGATGCATGGTCACGTAATTATACTTTTGGAAAAATAACATTTGCAACCACATCGTGAAAAATACGTGTCTGAATATTAACAGTATAATGTGTTAATGGTTGATGTTGAGAATAGACGCAGTTTGTGGATGATTAAAAAAAAGCTAAACTAGTTTTAAATTAACCTTCAATGCCCCGCTTTAGTGATAAATACACTGAAGAACAGGTCAATTAAATTACATACCACAGAGCTTGTTTAAAGTCACGAAAAGGAAATAATCTCGTTTGGCCGATATGTCGTTATCTTTCCTGTTAGTGGTCGTATAAATCTCCGATTACATTTCATTAACACGTAAATGTAATTGCGGTGATTATTTTTGCCTACAGCTCTCGCTGATGTTAAACGTGAATACATTCCGCTCCGTTTCAGAGGATTGATGTTTGCATCTTCTATTGAATTTACATGTTTCGCTTTGCCTGAAGCGGCACTAATTGAATATGTATGATACATTTTTGATTTAAAGCTTTTGTGACTGCAGGGATTCATATTCTTGGTTCTTTCGGTAAAGTCACGTAGAAGGGAAACAATAATAAAAATATAAAACAATACAATTCTCGCGACGTTTCGACTGCAACACAAGCAATCATCATCAGGTGTGAAGATGATGATTGCTTGTGTTGCAGTCGAAACGTCGTAAGAATTTTATCAGGTGTGAAGATGATGATTGCTTGTGTTGCAGTCGAAACGTCGTGAGAATTGTATTGTTTTATATTATTATTATTATTTTATTGTTTTCCTTCTACGTGACTTTATCGAAAGAACCAAGAATATGCATGATATATATACACACACGCGCACAAAATGTGAATACAATATAATCTGGTGGTAACTACTTTTTGTAGGGGGCGAACAGTAGTGCCACGGTTTGCATACCTAATGCGCTACGAATCTGCCGAGCTGCAGTTTGATTCCTGCCCACAACTAACAATCAGCCTGGGCGAGTGATATCTAAACCGATCCTGTGCACTCTCTTTATCAACCAGTATTGCTCAGAATGGTGAAGTATGGTTAAATATCTCCCATGACCCACAACTGTGCATTCCTTTTTTTATCGACGATAGATTATTTCTGTAACTATCTATATTAATAAGTGTCAGATGTCACCAGATACATAGTGGCACGTGGAGACTGTGATATATCACAATGCAGGGCAAAACATAGCTTAAATTTTGTTATTCTTGGTTCTTTCGGTAAAGTCACGTTGAAGGGAAACAATAAAATAATACAATATATATATAAAACAATAAAATTCTCACGACGTTTCGACTGCAACGGCAAGAACATTTGAAAGAACTGTTCTTGCCGTTGGTTTTCACACCTGATGATGACTGCTTGTGTTGCAGTCGAAACGTCGTGAGAATTTTATTGTTTGATATATATTTTATTATTTTATTGTTTCCCTTCAACGTGACTTTACCGAAAGAACCAAGAATATGAATCACTGCAGTCACGAAAGCTTTAAATCTAATTTAAATTTTGTTATTAATATTTGTAATTATAACCACTCTTAGTGTATATAGGCATCGATTAACACATCGGGTGCCTGGGAATCACCATGACAGATCCTGCACGCAATCGACCTTGAAACGACATCCGCAGTGAATTGGTAGAATATCACGAGTAGGATATTAAACTAAGCACATTTCGATTTAAAGCTTTCGTGACTGCAGGGATTCATATTCTTGGTTCTTTCGGTAAAGTCACATAGAAGGGAAACAATAAAATAAAAAAATACAATAAAACAATAAAATTCTCTCGACGTTTCGACTGCAACACAAGCAATCATCATCAGGTGTGAAAAGCACAGCACTGCTTAACCAATACATACTTCACTTGGAATGGAACTTTCTACAAACTGAGGACACCCCAATGGGCTCCCCCCTATCTCCGGTTATAGCCAACATTTTCATGGAGAAATTTGAGACTGACGCAATCCAGACTGCCACTCTGCGCCCAACCTTATGGAAGAGGTACGTGGATGACACTTTTGTCATCTGGCCACATGGCCGGCCTGCTCTAGACCAATTCCTCGACCACATCAATTCCATACACCCAGCCATCAGATTTGCCATGGAAGTCGAAAAAGATGGCAAGCTACCTTTTTTGGATGTCCTAATACAAAAGAGACCTGATGGTTCAATGAGCCACTCTGTCTACAGGAAAGCTACCCATACGGATGCTTACCTAAAACCGGATTCCCACCACCATCCATCCCAGAAAAAATTCCCTCATCAAGACTCTGCACCATAGAGCCCAATGCATATCCGACCAGGAACACATAGCCAGTGAACTCAAGCACGTACACCAAGCTCTTAAGGCTAATGGTTACTCCGACTACACAATCCGCAAAGCTATCACTCCAACCATGAAGAAGGACCCTCTTGAGGAGTCATTCAAAACCATCACTTTACCCTACATTGTGGGGATCACAAAAAAGATCTCCAAAATCTTGAATAAACACAAGATCCCAGTCCGATTCAACACATTACATAAAATCCGTGATCTGGATCTGTCTGTAAAAGATGTGATTCCGGACATACAGTACCCTGGCGTCTACAAACTAAGTTGCCTCTGTGGTAGTAGTTACATTGGAGAAACCAAACGACATGTCTCGGACCGCATCCGTGAACACAAAGCAGACCTCAAACACGGTAGGACCAACACCTCGGCCGTGGCAGAACACTGTTATAATTCAGTAAGCTCACATGACATTGACTTCTCCAAGACAGAGGTTCTCTGCAAGCAATCTGGCTACCATTAGAGATTCGTTCATGAGGCTATCCACATATACAAACACAGAGACAATTTCAACTGAGAAGATGGATTCTGGCTTAGCAATCATTAGAAGGATTTGATAAACCATTTTGGATCTTAATTGATTGTTCACGCTTACGGTGACTTTCAGACCGCATCCATTATTTTCGTCTCCCCCCTCCTCTTTTCCGAACATAGATGGACTCGTCCATCTAAATTCTAAACAAACTGTCAAATCGCTCTCCGTGGTGCTAACGTTAAAAAACCCGCCACTTTTTTCACATTTTCATGCTGTGGTTTTCACACCTGATGATGATTGCTTGTGTTCCAGTCGAAACGTCGTGAAAATTTTATTGGTTTATATTTTATTTTATTTTTTTCCCTTCTACGTGACTTTACCGAAAGAACCAAGAATATAAGCACATTTCGTGCATGATTAATATCAACGTGGGAGGCTCAAAAGGCCAGTTCAGAGCACTGTTTCGGGATTTGTTCGGGTTTGCTTCGATTTCAAGATCTCCTATCCGAAGGTTACAATTGCTTCAGTGATTCCCTCAACTCGATTTTAAATGAAGTCGATGATTTTTGTTAATTCCCCAATGCTTCGAGAGTCAGTCCAATTTCAAGAGCTGCACGTCCATAAGAGATTAACCCAGTTTGCACACAAACTCTCAATTATTGTAATTCAATTTGTCGCGCAGTAATTTTGAAAACAACTAAAAAACGCATGAGGTTTTGTGTCGCCGTATCAAGTAAACAAAATATAAAACAGCGAGACTATCCCACGTATGGGTGTTCTGAAATAATATAATATATTCCGAGGAAAACACAAAGTTGCAGAGTATTCTGCTGAAACCATTGATGTTGGAAAACATCGGACCCCGGACCGCCCCCGTGTTCTAATAAACAAAACTGTGAGTTCACCTTCTTCACACGACGAATCGGAAGTCTATTAATTTTTGTTGAACGAACTTTTGCAGTGTTAAAAAAACAAATGCTATTTATTTCGGCAGTGTACTTAAGCTGCCAACATTTGAAGTCATAACGTGAAACATCTTTTTCGTACCCAGCAAATGTAATGGTGCATAATTATCAGCGGTGAGAGAACAATCGTGACAGATTAACATGTGGACACAACCCAGAGAAGCACGTGTTAATGTTGCAGACACCAACCTCAGCAGCGCATCTCGTGATATCTGACACAAAATTGAAGCTTCGTTAACGGGGGAGGGGGGGGGGAAGAACAGCGTTAGAGTTAAGGTCAGGCTCTCCTGTAACGCACTGTATTGACATTTACGAAAATGTCATGACTATCACATCTTGTGGTTAGAGAACCATTGCTCCGTTTGTATTCAACACAAAACAAAGATCCCCCGTAGAGCATATAACAGACTGTTGGGGCAAGTGCTGTTAGCGAGTAGCACCTATGAAGGCCGGCACGGCACCATGACGGGGGGTGGGTGGCCAGCACCACGCCCGGTCGCCTTTATCTCCCCAGTGGCGATGTTTTACACACAACGCACCAGCTACAAATTTGAGGCTGAGTCGACCTAGGGGATGGCCGGGGAACCGGTTCAGATAATCGCCACCGGTGTTGGCCGTGAGCGGAAATCGAACTTGGATCTTTGGGTTTGCAGGGCAGCGCGCTAACCGCTCCGCCACCGCTCCCCACGCGCGCGCACACACACACATACCTTGCAAAGAACCGTGCAAAGAACCCGCAAACGACGAGTTTCCCTCCACTAAATCCAAGACTTTGGCGACGATGGGAAGTTTATATGCAGTCGCCCGCTCAATTATAACACAAAAGAGCGCTTCCAGATACTTGCCCTTATATGTAAGTGCCGCTGCGCAATTATTTGCCAAGGTCTGGAGATGTGTGTGTCTGTGTACGTGATGCGAGGTGATGTGTGCACGTGTTTGCCGTGGGTGTGTGCACGTGTATGTTACGGGTGTTTGCCAACTGTGTGTATGTGCGTGTGTGTGGTGGGAGTTCGGGTTGATGCACCTTGTGGTGTGTGGCCGCTATCTGCGTTCACGTTAGCCTGCTGAATTGGGGGCGGGGGGGGGGCATTTGACGTGCAGGTTGTGCAGAAATATTGCACGGATAAACCATGCCGTGGAGCAAAGTATGAGCACCGTGCATATGCATGTATGCAAGTGTGGACGCACTGAGATTCATGCGTGTTGTGTACGTGAGACTCGTGTGATACGATACCTAAAATGGTACAAAGACCCCCCCCCCACCCCGTATAACCTTTAACAGATTGTTGGCGCAAATGCTGTCAGTCAACACCTATGAAGGTCGGCGTAGCACGCGTGGGAGTAACAAAGCCAACAAAACCCCCGACCGCCTTTGTCTCCCACGTGTTGATGTTTACACATAATAGCAGGTTACTCGTTTAAGGGTGAGTTCCGCCGATGTTGGGAAAACCCAGGACCGATTTCGAATTGACTCGCCGGCGAAGTGAGACGATAGCCGTGGTTAGGAATCGAACTCGGGTGGGCCAGCTCTGTTCGCGCAGTGTGCAACCAACTATGCTGACATGCAAAGACAAAGACCCCCCCACCGTGCAGACTTTTCAGATTGTTGGGGCAAGTGCCGTGAGCGAGCACGGCACACGTGGCGGTGAGTGGTCAGCACTATGCCCGACCGCCTTTGTTTCCCTAGTGGCGATGTCTATACACCGCACTAGGTACTCGTTTGAGGCTGAGTCGACCTAGGGGAGGTCCAAAACCGTTTCAGATAATCGTCCCTGGTGCTAGCCGTGAGCGAGAATCGAACTCGGGTCGTCGGGTTCGTGGCGCAGAGCCCTAATCGCTACACTTACCGCTACATCTACGCTGCTATGCACCCACTTGCCCCCCCCCAAAAACAACGACAAAGATCCCCCGTATAGCCTTAACAGACTGTTGGGGCAAGTGCTGTTAGCGAGCACCTATGAAGGCCGGAACGGTCCACGAGGGGGTGGGTGGCCAGTACCACGCCCGACCGCCTTTGTCTCCCTAGTGCGATATTTACTATACACCGCACTAGGTACTCATTTGAGGCTGAGTCGACCTAAGGGAGGCCCAGAACCGGTTCATATAATCGTCACTGGTGTTGGCCGTGAGCGGGAATTGAACTAAGGGTCCCCGGGTTCATAGCGCAGCGCGTTAACCACTGCACTACCGCTCCCCCAACACACACAGAAACAAAACAAAGACAAAGATCCCCCGTATAGCTTTAACAGACTGTAGGGGCAAGTGCTGTTAGCGAGCACCTATGAAGGCCGGAACGGTACACGAGGGGGTGGGTGGCCAGCACCACGCCCGACCGCCTTTGTCTCCCTAGTGGCAATGTTTACACACCGCACCAGGTACTCATTTGAGGCTGAGTCGACCTAGGGGAGGCCCGGGACCGGTTCAGATAATCGTCACTGGTGTTGGCCGTGAGCGGGAATCGAACCCGGGTCGCCAGGTTCATAGCGCAGCGCGCTAACCTCTACACCACCGCTCCCCCAACACACACAGACACACACAGAAACACACACACAGACACACACACAGACGTGCCTTACGCACTTACCCAAGAGGTCCTTCCTCACTTTTTCCGGATGCTGGGTCTCATTACAATCAGCTTGAGTGAGCTCCTCAAACAAAAGCGCCTGTGATAGAATGTTTTTTTTTCCTCTTGACTTCTTCCGACCTTATTTCCTTTATAAGCAATCACAACACTGTTTGAACTACCGCAAATTCTTTAGTGGCAAATGTGTGGAATCTAAAATAAATAGAAAAAAAAACTTCAGAAATGTCTTTAGGGCGGTATTTGCCGAGCAAAGGCTTGACACCGGAGGCATATTTTAGTGATGTATCTAAACGTGCAGTGCATAAGAGAATAGCTGTGCCACAAACGTTGGAGTAATCGTGGCCACAGCGGTGGTTCATCGTGGCCAGATAACTCCCGTCACCTGCACGGTGTGGGGAGGTCCTCATCCATCAGTGATTTAAAATAACGCCTGTACATGACCTTTCGGCAGATACTGGCATCGGTATAGTTGTATCGCTGACATTTGTGTTGTACTAAAACATGGGTACCAGTCTTTCCCACGAGCAAACAGCAAATGTGTTTTTGCTGCACCCTGTAATTATATGACCTGCAAATAATTGAAAATGGAAAACAAAAACTCCACGAAATGCATAGATGACCTTAATTTATAACCGGTTAAGAGCCCACAGCGACCTGAAATCACATTTTCCAAGAGAGACCATTAAATAAACATGAGTACAAACAACTGCAGGTAAAAGTGAACTTTGGACTACAGTTATACTGTACTGTTAATCCTAATTGCTCTCGCTCGATGCCATTTGCAAATCATTGTTGGCGACCAAGCAGTAGAGGGAAATCACTGAACTACCTCCATCCGTTTGTCTCCCGCTTAACTCCGCCAAAGTTTGCACGGCAATCAATTAAATTGCAGTTCAGACAGCTGCTCTCTGATAACCGAGAGGGGAAGCGTTTACTTTTGAGAGTGGCTTAGCAATGCATGGATTGGTGTGGCTTGTGGGTGGGTGAGTGGGTGGTCGAGTGGGCAGCCTGGCTGCAAGGAGGGTGGAAGTTTCAGATAAGAGAATGACAGATGGATAATTAATCTGACCCCAGCCACAACCTTATTTATTTCGGTAACGAATGTCCTACTCGACTCTACAGTATTTAGCAACAGTGGCTCATAAAGTGCATATCTATTATGTCTAAATATATTTCAAATATACGGAAGTAGCCAAGTTGCAAAAGCAGGTTCTGTGAAATAATAATGCAATACTAAACAAAAATTGCTTTGTTTAACATGTAGGCTTTCGCGATTAAGATTATCCACAATACAGGTTTTTTTTGTGTTATATCGCATAAATATAAATGTGTCGTTAACCCCACCACCCGACACAGCCAATTAGTAAGGTTTGTCACGTAAACAAAACATGCCGATTCGTTACTAGTTCCGCACACCGGTGTGTTGGAGACTGAACCCACAACATTTACAATTCGAGTACGACGTTTCGCTGGTAATTACAACAGTCAGCCTCATCAGGCGACAGCCAAATCTGATTTGTAAACGATACGTTTAATCGTCTGCGTTGGGTATAGTGGCGGTGTTAACGAGACATTTTTATTTTATGCGATATAACCCCCCCCCCCAAAAAAACTCTACTATGGATAAACATTGCTGTTTTAACATGATACAACTGGATCTAACACGGTCTTCATTTTTTCAACCGGGATGGCACGCAATGGATCAGCGTTCATGTTGCGAGCCTCGCTCGTACCCAGGCTCCCCCTATGAAGCGAACGATCCAACGGAGGGAATTATGCGGGCTCCGAATCTCGGAATCCCGATCTCAAATGCAACATGCTGGATAAATACAATTTCAACCACGTGAAAATGGCATACTATTCACTTCCATGATCTTTAGGTCAGTGGAGTATAAATAGATATATACATTGCAGTTGTGCGGTGGTGCAGCAGTAGGCAACACTGCGCGATAAACCCGGCGACCTGAGTTTCATTTTTCCGGCCACAGCTAACAGCAGCGCTGAGTGATTTTTGAACCAGTCCAGGCCACTCCCTTTACCAACATGCACTGACCATTGTGGGTGAAGTATAGTCAAACAATCCCCATGACTAACATGGCATGGGGAGGCCTTTTTCCACCAGTGGATGGACAAAGGGCTGTAAACTGTTATTATTTATATGTCGTGTCAACGTATGAGTTTTTGTACAGTTTTTGTTGTTGCTGCTAGGTATGTATGTTGAACTTCTTTCGCACCGTACGCAGCCAACCGTGCTGAATATGCCCCAAGTATTATCATGTATACATGTATATTACAAGTATATTACCCGGCTTGTGTTAAACTTGTATGTTTAAATTAATGCATTCAGTGTTGTGTGAAAGGCCCACAGTCAACCACTGAATCATTATTATATAATGGAAAAAATAAAGACTACATGACATTTCAAAGGCTCACAAATGCTCGCATGTACAGAATATGATGTCAATTAATTGTGTTGACATTTATAGTCAAATAATATACTCTCTTATTACAGCACACGTCTTTAAATATAATTGGTTTCAAACGTAATGTCGCAATGTTATTGACCAGTGATCTTCAATCTATTTAGGCAGCAGTGTCGCAGTAGTGGAACATGAAAATGAAATCATTCCACTGCTATTAAAAATGCATTCATTTCAAATGTACAGATTAGTCACCTTATGCATTTATTTTACATATATATTTAATGCTGCCATATCGCTAAATTCTGCCTGTGGCACAATATGTGCGGGTAAAAAAAATATTTTATAATCCATGTTTTTGCTCTAGGGGAATTTATTATAGCTATAGCATGCATATGTTCAATATATGTAAAAGGTCATTGCCATGGTAATGGAATTCTAGTTTGGGATACACATGTTAATCACGATATTTAATATGCTATTTTTCATTTCTGCTTGTTCTCAGACATCAGGTTGGTGTGATCCATCACGTTATATAATGTCATCATCACCAATGAATATTTATACCGTGCCTCCCATGTAGTGCGTTATAAATATCGAGGCCCCCCCCCCCCATCCCGAGGCACGGTAGCCGCGGTAACAGCTTTAGTCACAAGGTGTTTACCTTGTGACTACACTGTTTTTATTTTATTTATAACAAGGTAAACACAGCCAGTGGACATTAGCCTGCCAGCAGGGGGCAATGTCGCCATGCGATTTCTCAATTAAGTCATTTGTGAGCGATTTCTCAGTAAAGTCACGTAGTTAGAAATAAAATAAAATAAAACAAATCACGACGTTTCGATCGCAACACAAGCGATCGTCATTATGTTGCGATCGAAACGTCGTGATTTGTTTTTATTTTATTTATAACTACGTGATGACTTTACCGAAAGTACCAAAGAGTGTGGATTCCTGGAGTCACGAAAGCTTCAAATCGAGAGCGATTTATCAGTTTAGGCAAATTTGGACCATGACATCGGTTACGTGTGGCCTACCCTTTCGAATACTTCCACGATA